CTGCTCCCTCCCTCCCTCCCTCCCTGCCTCCGTCTGCTGTGTTTTGTTGGTGGTGTGTGCGGTGCCTTGTGGGCTAGGTCGCATTTCCTTAAGCCATACCTTGCTAGGGCGTCTTGTTTGTGTGAGTGACGAGTGGCCGGCCGGTTGCGGTGCGGTGCGGCGCACATGTGCCAAAAGGGCATGGAGGCAGTGCATGGAATGAGGCCAGGCGTCAGACCGACTCAGTGATCATTTTTCTCAATCGATCAGTCCGCCCGCACAGCAAAGTGAGATGCCCTTGGTATGGTCCGTGCCTGTGGATCTTTGACTCACAAACATTTTGTCTTCAGACTCACAGATCGTCACGTAAACCCCAGAGACACACACGTGTGTATTGTATGTCATGTGTATGGACAGATATGTTGATGAAGGCAATCAGTGAAGAGGCGCCGCCCGCCAATGTGGCCATCGCAGACAGAATCACAAGCCGGACTGGCCGAGCGCTCTCGTTCAAACGAACGTGACCGACATTCATTCAGTGGATTCGAGGCCGCGCCTCTCTGTTGGAACTTTCACTCTGTGTATTTGTCTCCATAGCTCCAACACATTACAAGCACTTCAACACTTTACTCTCCTTTTTCGCCCTCAAACATTTTCGTGGCCGTGTCTCCCATCTGCTGCAACAGCCTCTCAGTCCATTCCTCGAAGCCGAACACCTCCCTGCCCCCCTCGCCATGCAGAGACATCTTGCTGACGTACACGTAACTGACATTGAGCTATGTATCTCCAGTCAAATAGACGCACATAAGACAAAAACTCGTGCATGGCAGAATAGGAAGGTCGTGTGCAGCTGTTGTGCACCCATACAGAGACACCGTTCCGACCAACCGGCCGACAGACATCGCATACACACATAGAGAGAGAGCTCAGTCCAGCAGTGCCTGACTGCAGACATGCTGACATGCACGCGCAGTGTCTATCCACATGGCAAAAGGCTATCAGCGGTCACCACAGCTGAGTGACGCTGACCAGCTTAGATATACACACGTTTGGTGGCCGTGATTTTCTGCCGGCATCGAGGGCAGAGCCGCTGGTCGAGGGGCCGGCGCATCAACGCATCAGCGCACGTGCCGCACAAACAGAAGTGACGGCATGGCACGAGCACGATGGACTTCTTCTCGGCCATGCAGATGTCACACTCGGTGCTCTCCGCCAACCTGCAGCACACATTACACACATGACAGAGAGAGACACGTTAATTCTTGGCCTCCCTCCGCACTTTCTTACCTGTCCTTTTCCCTCTCTATGGCCTCCTTCTCGATGCGCAGTGCCTCGAGCTGCCTGCGCAAAGCCGCCACCTCACTCGTTGCGTCCTCACTCACTCCCACCGCCCCCTGCGAACCCTGCACACCATCACCCATCCCTAGCAGTGGTGCTGGTACTGGTGGGGGTGTTGGTGGGGGTGGCGCCTGTGGTGGCGGGAATGGCGGGCGAGGGGGCAGGGGAAAGGGCAGCTGCGGCGCCTCATTGCGTGGGCCGCCATCAGGCACCGACGAGTGAGATGAGGGCTGGTGAGTGGATGCGGACGAAGATGGAGCGACGGCTGTGTTTGCTGTGTTGGCCTGCTGCTGCTGCCGCTGCTGCTGTTGCGCATAGCCGCCCTGTGGTGGTGGCGGCGATTTGTTGCTCCTGCCCTTCTTGCTCTTGTTCTTGCGGCCGACCGTGATGAAGCCCCCACCGATGTCATTCTCTCCGCCATCAGCCGGCCCTTGCTGCTGCTGCCCATGGCCGCCTCCCACCGACACAGAGGGGGCGCCAGCCGAGCTTGAGGGTCGGTGAGGTGAGGGAGGTGACGGACTGGCGGAGGCAGGCAGGTCATGATGCTCTTTCTCCGTGTCCTCCTCGTGCTCCTGATGGCTGTGGTCTTCCGATGTGTCGTTGATGGCGGCAGCACTGTGTGTCGACCAGCAGAGATAAGGACACCCGTCAGCAAAACGAGGTGAGAGAGCGCCTGTGTGGTCTCTCTCACCTTGGTGCTGACGTCTCTTTCGTGTCGATGGCCTCTGTGCTGGTGGCCGCTTTGGCCACTTTCTTGCTGCCCTTGACGCCCTTAGTGCCAGTCTTTTTGCCGCCGCCATGGGTGTCCTCGATGCCCATCTCGGCCGCCAGCTGTGCATCGGCCCGCTCGTTTGCCGCACTCTCGATCTCAGCGAAGAGATCCAACAGCTGACACACACAAGACACAGATACACACGCACGTAGGCCCCAGCATGGAGAATCATTTCTGCGTGTTTGCTCCTCACCTCCTTCGGCACCGTCAGCTGCTGCTTCTGCCCCTTTTTCCTGGATAAATGCCCCTCGGCCGCGCGCATCGTCTTGACGGAGTCGTGCTGTAGGATGCTTCGCGTGACACTGTTCGGCCGGAACGTGCCGCGCCAGCTGCTCACGCGATCGCCATAACTGCATACTCAGAAACATCGGATGAAGACGGCGGCGTGTGAACATGTGTATGATGCGTACCTCACGAGGGCACGGAGAATGCTGATGGCGAAGGCGATGAAGGTATCCACCTGCTGCTGGCTGATGTGGTGCCTGATACATGCGAGGGTCAGCTGACAGAGAGCCACGGGGAGGCCATCCCGCACGGCTATCTGCATGCACGCAGAGGACACACACAACAGAAAGTGTCTTTTGTTTGTGCCGATACATGTGTGGAATCAGATGTCAGCTTGACCTTTGCTCGGTCGGAGTGCGGGCCAAGGTCGGTGTCCTCCCCGACGATCGTCGGCACATGCCTTGCACAGAAGGCCACGTTCTCTTCGTCTGAAGGTCCCATGCTGATGTGCCCCGCGAGCCTTGACACTACTGAGATGCAGCCTCCCCGGTACAGCTCATCGCGGTCCCCCGCCTCTGCACAAACGCACCACAAGCAAAGACAGCAACGGTGTGAGGGATACTCAAAATTACATCTCCTTGATGTCTTCAAGCTTACCGGCCAAAACGTATTCTGTGTTCGATGCGACCAGTTTCATGATTGCCACAACATTACTGTGCCTGAAGACAAAAGGACGAACGCGCAGAAATGACACCACGACAACGACACTCTGTCTATCTCTCGTGTGCGCTGCCACTGCAACTCACATGAACTCCCGAAGCGCCGAGTCCACATGTGTCGCAATCCGGACGGCACCACGGAATAGTCCCAGCCACACCGAGGTCGGCATGGCAGCCGGCGGATCGGTGTCGAAAGCAGTCATGAGGAAGCCCAGGGCGTGGAGGCCGTTGTCGTCTTTGGAGTTCATCCTCTCCACGTACACGAGGGCGCTGTCGAGGACGGCTGGATGCTGCTGCACCAGACACTCTCGATAGTCTGCTAGATTGCCGTGGTGCTGCCCATCCATCATGAGGCCGTGCAGCATAAGGAAGGCGGTCTCCTTGCTGTCGTCATCGTTGCAGTCAGCGAGCACAGAGGCTAAGGCGGTGATCGATGCACTCGGCGGAGGCCAAACATCGTTCGCGCTCATCTCGCTGATGATCTTGGCCGGGACGGCCCCGTGGCCACAGCTGCTGAAGCAGCCAGCTGCCATCTGCTGACGTCCCTTATTGCCGACGTCAGTGAAGGAATCGAATAGCCGCCGCAGCAGGTGCCAGCTGTACTTCCGCTCGAGCACGAGCTTCGCCCTTGGACCTTTCGCCTCTTGTGCGAGCGTCTTGAGGGCGCTGTCGAGAGCAACATCCGGCAGCCAGCCGGGCAACGACAAAGCCGTGATGGCTGCATCGATGCCGAGCTCCGAGTCGTCCTGGATCTGCCGTTCAGCCAGGCTGAAGCTTCGCCGCCTTGGTTGCCCATGCTGTGCAGAGAGACCAACAGAGGATCAGATCTTGGTACCCAGCTGCAGAGGTTGAGTGCTTTCGATAGACAGCGGAGAGAGAAATGCCTCTTGTCCTCTCTCTCAATGGAAACGTCAGCCCGCGCAGAACCCTAAGCCGTAAACCCTGAACCCTGCGTACCCTAACGATTTGGCACGTGTATAGTTGCGGAACACAGTGGTCAAGCGAGATATCGGATAACGCACACCAGGCACAAAGAGCCTTCACGGACCACGCAAGAGTCTTTTGTCCGATGCAGGGAGGGAGGGATAGATAGGGGGAGGGGAGATGGCCGCGCTACCCCGGGGAACCCTAAAGTCGTAAACCCTGAACCCTGACGCCGTACCCCTAAGATTTGGCACGGTGTCATCATGATTCATGTGATGATGCAGAGGGGTCATGAATGCATGGCATCTCGGCACTCCTTCTCAAATTCCATCATCCTCACAAACACACCATACTTCCTGACATACACAGAAAACACACAGAGAGGCAAATGCATGGCACCGTGTGAGTGCCATCTCTCCCCACCACTGAGAGGCACCCACCCACCCCACCTGTCGTGCAAGTCGACAATTGATGGTTTGGAGGTCGGCCGCACCAGGGACGCAAGGGGGCCCATCCGCTGCATGGCCGACAGCAGCGCATCACTGCCACCACCCTCCAAAGCTGCCGCACCTGCACCCACGACACATACTGGTACACCACACACACTCTCTCTCTCTCTCTCTGTGTGTGTGTGTGTGTGTGTGTGCGTGGTGGTGCCAATGACCTATGATGGCTGATCCGAGCAGCACGGCGTCGGTCTCCTCCGGTGCGATGAGCACATCACGCTGGAGGATGTCGGCACACTGCTGCGCGAACAGGGGGCTCTTGGCCAGCCCACCACACAGACAGATGGTCTCTATGTGGGGGTGGCCCTTGCTCTCGACTGTCTGCATTATGTGTCGGCACCCATACGCCACTGCCTGCCACACACGCATACACACACACACACACACATGGCTACATACAGAGGAAGGGGTGTGTGTGGGTGTGGGTGTGGGTGTACCTGTAGAGCAGCCAGATACATGACGGCCAGATGGTTGACCGATCTCTCCAACGATGCCCCCACCACCACACCCCTCTTGTGCGGGTCCGCAAAGGGCGAGCGATTCCCGTGCACATCTGGTGTCATGTGGATGTCTTTCGTCAGGACGGTGGGGCAGTCTTCCCCCTCGTGCTGCATCAGTATGTGTGCGAGGTGCCTGTGGACGTCGTGCAGTGGCTTGTCGGCGAGGGGCGGGTCGTATCTCGCCGCATGGGACACCAACAGGTGGTCGATGAAGGAGCCTGTCGCACTCTGACCTACATCAATCCACACACACACACATAGATAGAGAGAGAAAACAGAGAGAGAGAGTACACAAACACACAGACGATTACCAGCTTCCAGCAGCCACTTGTCGGGCAGCATGGCGCCATAGTAAGGCCCCCACACGCCAGGCACCTTCACAGCATCATCGCTAGTGAACATGTAGCACGTGGACGTGCCCGACACCATGGCCAAGCGCGACGGGAAGGAGGAGGGCGAGGGGGCGGGGGAGCGGAGGGATAGAAGGCCGATGCCGCCCTGCACATGTGGATGGATGGATGGATGGGGGAAAGTGTGTGGGCGGTGGGTGTGGCAGGGAGGGAGGGAGGCGTGTTTCTCACTGCGTGTGCATCGATGAGTCCGACACCGACAGCACAGCCTTGACGCAACCCCAGCTCGCTGGCAGCCTGACACAGACACACAGAAAGTGAAAATGCAGCGACAGACACGCACATCCACCCAGCGAACAATCCCCTGACCCACTGACCCACTTACCTTTGCCGAGAGCCCATTGCCTACTGGTGCGGCGAGCGGCCTCACCCCCACCCCACTTTGGCCCTTGACCGCCCTCGCCTTCTCAGCATCTGAGACGAACTCGGCCACGCCAATCTCTTGGAGGAATGAGGCCGTCCATCCGTCTGTGTAGGGCTCGGAGGATTGGGGAAGGAGAGAGGCCGCCTCCTGCAGTCAGTCAGAAACCATGGTCGTCAGGGTTTGTTTTTTGTGCGATGCGAGTGGTGTGTGTGTGTGTGGGTCTGTGTACGGGTGCGATCCAGTTCCACTTGCAGGTCACGGTGCACTGGCTCCTCTCATCCACACCCGTCGCCCTGACCACACACCACACCACACAGGCAGCACACGCAGCACACCCAGCCACATAAGACAGACCTACTTGGCCACTTACACTCACACTCACCTGTAAGTGAGGTAATCGGTGAGGTCCATCAGCTTCCCCCCACACGCACTCCCAAACGACTGCGGCAGGTGCTCCTTCAGCCACAGCACCTTGGGCCACTCCATCTCAGGCGACACCTTCCCACCGACAAACCCTTCCAACACACGGAGAGAGAGAGAGAGAGAGAGACCGCTGGATACCTGCGGGCATACGAGCCTACCGAGGACAGGGTGGTTGGTGCTGTTGATGCGGTCGGCTTGCGCGACAGCCCTGTGGTCCATCCACAGGATCACGTTCCATACGCTCCGCCGTGCCACTCCGGTGGGTGTGACCGACACGGGGCGGTCGCTGCCGTCGAGAACGACCTGCAATCCAGACACCCACACCCACACACAGATATAGAAACACACAGATGGACATGGCCAAGTGGATGGTGGGTGCAGTGCATGGTGTAGAGTACCAGTGAGCATGTGGCGTCGAATGCGATGGATTCCACCTGGTTCCTCACGGTGTTCTCCCCGCTCGTCACGAACTGACTCCTCTGCTCTATCGCAGACAGACACTGACGCACCTGACCACACACACGCGGAGCCTATGCGGGACGGTGCAAGACGATCTCTTTCTCTTTCTTGTTTCTCATCCATCCACGTCTATCTGTCTGCCTGCCTGCCTGCCTGCCATCCAGGCTTACCGCATTGCAGCACTGCTGCCATATCTCATCGCTGGCCTGCTCGTAGTGCTCTGCAAGAGGCGTGTGTGTCGAGATGGGCCTGTGAGAAGGAAGGAGGAAGAGGAGCTGATGACTGACAGCGCATCCAGAGGCTCAGAGCGCCCGTTGCACGTCACTGCTGCATGCCTTACAGAGAGGCCGACGAGAGCGAGTGGCCGCGAATGTCGAACACTGCCGCTCTCACAGAGCCTAAATGAATGAGTGAATGAAGAAAGGAATGAGAGATCTCTGCCGTGTTTGTTTCGGTACCCGTTCCCACGTCCACACCGACGTGCATTGAACGAAAGATGAAAGATGACCTATCAAGATGGACCTACTGCATAGAACGCGCCGCTACAGCGATGCAAAACACCAAAAGGCCTCAGATCAGGGGCGATTCCCGGCGGAACGATCGGTCGGCTGATCTGATCTCGCACTCATGAGCTCATTGACCTTCTCGAATGAGCGCTGGTTTCCGTGTTGCTGATGATGGAGTGTGTTGACTCATTCGTTTTGCAATGGAGAGAGTGCCGTTCATATATATGGTACACACATTCACACATGTAGCCAGTCTGGTGATTGCGGACATGAGACGCCGATAAACAGCAAACAGCAGGCCGGTCACTGACTGACAAGTGTTCGCATTCATCCGGCTCAATTAATCGCTTCGCTTCACTCGTCTTCGTCCACGAATTCCTCCTTGAGTATCTCCTTGAACTCGAGGGCTATCTCGCTCGTGTCGTCGCCCTTCAACACGTCCTTGACAAACGTGCACGACACACGCATGTGCACCTGATCAGTTGACACACACACAAAGCCCACACAGACCACACAGACAGACAGCACATGAAGGGGCACACTCATGTGCTGGACGTTGGTTGCTCTGGTACGTGTGTGTCTTTCATTCATTCATTCAGACAGACAGACAGACAGGCTTGCCTGCTCGAGGCCGCCTCGTATGACGCCGCAGATGAGTTCGCCGTACTTGAGGCCCGCCATGCTGGCCGGCAGCTCCACAAACTCATTGCTGAGTTAGGCCAACACACACAGGCAACCAGGCAGGCAGGTACACACATGGCAGCTGCATGGATGCGTGTCGGCAGGGTGGATGCTCACAGTGGGTTGTCGTGCAGGACGAGTGTGCACGCCGTCAGGTCGCTGTTCCATCCCGTCACGTCAGCTGTGACGTTCAGAAACATCTTCAAAGCCACCTGATCGATGCACGCACCAGACAAACACTCATTCGTGTGCATCGGTCACTCGCTGTGGTGCGTGTGTTTTTGTGTGTGTGCGCGCGCGTGTGTGGTTGCCTTGGCGATGACTTCTGCGGTATCTCTGAAGTCCTGGCACGGTCCGATGCCGCTCTTGGCGAGGAACTCGTCCACCAGCCGAATGCCGATGTTGTAACCCATCTTCTCCAGCTGAACGTTCACCGACTCTGATGGTACACGACACACACCACACCAAACATACCAGGCAGGCAGGCACACCTTGCACAGGCAGAGCAGACAGACGCGTGGATGTGGTCAACCCACCGATTTCTTCTTTGTCTTTGAGCAGCTGTGTGACGAGCGAGCCGTACGTCAAGGCAAGCAGCTCCGCGCTCTGCCACACACAGAGAGAGATCAGCTCAGCTCATCCATCGCCATCATTCATTTCATCGGCCCATCCCTCGTCCGTCTCGCTCACCACTTTGTCCATCTTGCTGAAGGCCACCTTATGAATGACACACACAACACAAAGGAAGCAGCAGGAGCCCTGTGTGTGTGTGCTTGCCTCATTGTCTGTCGTGTGATCTGGCCTCACCTCGCCGGCCTTGAGATAGTGCTGACGCGACATTGTTGCTTATGCAGATCGGCAGCTACAGAGAGAAAACGAGGAGAAGTCTGCAAAGCTCGCAGAATAAAGCTCGCAGATCTACAGCTGTTGGCCTTTTCGGAGTTCGTTCGTCGCCTGGGAGTCGGCACCGTGTCCCGCTTCCACATCACGCCGGCCACATGCAAGGAGCCACTCCATGCGCATGTCGCGAGACAGATTGCATGCATGCAGCGTGGGGGCGGCCAAAATGAGACGGGGAACTCGGACGCCCACACGCTTTTTGGCCCCCCCACTCGCCAGCGAGGCCCACTTTGCGCCAGTCACGGCTGCAACTGACTGCCGGCCAGGTCCACTGAGCCGTTAGACTGTGGCCCGGCGCCCGGAACGGTCCGGGGAAAAAGCGGCTCTCTCCTTCCCCCTTCACGAATCTCCAAGCGACGATGCGCTTCTTTTCCGTTGCGTTGTTCTTCTGCTGCCTGGCTGTCGCCACCCACTCCCCAGCGTCGGCCCGGCCAAATCCGAACCCGGTGAGATACGTCCCGTTCCCGCACAGCGGCAGGCTGAGGGCCATGTCGGCGTCCGACCGCACCTTCGACCAAGGAGCCATGATGAACAGGGGTGTGATGGGCGGCGGTGTGGGGATGACGACCCTGCAGCAGCAGCAGCAGCATCCGTTCTCCACGTCTGACCGTGACATCGACCGGGCGGTGCCCGTGCCGCCCGCTGTGGGGACGCCCATCAACAGATATGACATACCGGAAGATATGGGCGACGAGAAGGACCTCAGCGAAGCTGACGACCAAGGTCGGAGGGAGGGGAGGGGAGGGCTCACAGACAGACAGACAGAGAGGCACATGTGGCCCGCCTCTTTGTGCGCGTCTAGACGAGGAGGAGGTTGGTGAGGACGCCGAGGGCCAGGAGATCGGTGATGACGACGATGAAGGCGGTATGGAGCAAGAGCAGGACGATGATGATGCCGAGAGTAATGCCGAGCAGCTGGCTGATGCTGAAGGTGAGCTGCAGGAAGGTGCGGACGCTGAGACGGACGAGGTCGACATGGACGGTGTAGAGTGAGTAGCCGGACAGACGGACCTGTTTGCCTCTCTTTTGCTGGCTGCTCTGCCTGCCTGCCTGCCCTCTAGTTTGGTGGATGCCCGGCCTTGACTGAGTGAGTGCCCTGGCACATCACGGGGAGGGGGACATGGTTGTTTGCCACGTGTCGTGTGCCTGTCGATAGCTGTCTGCCTACCTGCCTGCCTGCCTGCCTGCCTGCCACACGCACGTAATGTGAGTGACGTGTTTCTGACTCTGACTCTTGAGTGACTGCACATACTGATGGATGGATGGATGGACCGACGGATGGATCGCTCTTCGTGTTTGTGGGAATTTTGGGCCGTCTCACATGAGCATTGTGGGGTGGCGTAGTGCATCGTGTGGTGTGCGTGGGTGGCGTGGCGTGTGGGTGTGAGTGATAATCAGGGCTGTTTGGTGAAGGCGGGTTGCTCCCTCACTCTAGCCAACATTTGTATGATAGCATCCCCTGTGTGTACTACGGCGATTTCGCAGCAGCGTCGCCTTTATCTATTTCTCCCTACTTGCACTGCACCTGTGCTCTGCCATTTCGTAGATGCCTGCCTGCCTGTGTGTGTGTGTGGACTAACTCGCTCGATCGCATAATTTTGGTGATGCGTTCGTCGATGTGTTCGTGCCTGTGTGACTGTACGTGTGTGAGTGCGTGAGTGCGTGTGTGTGGCGCGTGTGTGTGGTGGATGTCGCGTCCATATATCGTTATGTAAGTGAGAGCTGCCTGTTGTCGGCTGTCTGCTGTCCGTTGCTCGCACCGCACTCGCTTCGTTCTCCAGACCACACAGAAACACACACACATACACAGGAGTACGTCGACAAACTATGCACACACTGGCTGTTTGAAACCACTACACCACACCAACAGCACCGACCGACAAATGCACTCACTGCAGCCAGCCGACAAATACATTGCGCCATACACACAGAGAAACGGCGCTTCATCAATCAGGTCGATCAGAGCCGGATGGCCCCCGTTGTGATGGCCGTGTAGACGTCGGCCGTAAGCTCCACATAGCGGCCCTCCTCTGGGTGATCGAAATACAACAGATCAGCCTGATTACGGTACGCGCGCGAACAACACAGAGAGGGGCACTCAATAAGCGGATGGTGCACACCTCATGTCTACATCATGTGCAGCACCTGGTGGTGCGAGGGTGAGGTCTTGGTGACCTTTTTGGGGTCGAAGCCGTCCTGCACGAAATCGTACTTCTTGAACTTGTATGTGCCTGCGCAACACGCACTCGATCACACACACAAACACACTCCACACAGACAGAGGTCGCCTCTTCCTTCTCACTCACGGGTACCTGTCTTTTCGTTTTCGGTCCGCCTGATGCGGACGAACGCCGGCCGCGCGTAGGACGGCAGGTTTGCGTGGACGTGCTCCCTGAGCTGTGAGAGGAAGGCCTCCGTCTCGACCCCCTCGCGAGGCAACACCGACACCATCCCCACCTTGCCAAAGGTGTCGTGCTGCACGCACGCACACATGTGGCCACATGGGCACACCACACCCATCTTCTATGGGTGGGGTCTTCGGAAGGAGGTCAAGTCATGAGTGCGTTCGTACGTTGGTCGATCCGTCTTGTGTGTTGACAGATGGGACGGTGACGCCATACACGTTGGCCTCCTTGACCACGGGACACTGAGATATCACCTCACACACCTGCACACACATGACAGGCATACAGACACAGAAATGGACAGACACAAAGATACACAGTCACAGACACAGACACAGACGTGCCCACCCACCTCGTTTGTGGAGACGTTTTCTCCCTTCCATCTGTAAGAGTCGCCGGCCCGGTCGACGAAGTAGAAAAAGCCGTGTCGGTCGACTCGCAGCAGGTCGCCGCTGTGGTACCAAGTGTCGCCCTTCTCAAACACATCCCGATACAACACCTGCATTGCCATCACACCACACCATCAGGTGTCCATATCTCTGTCTCCCTGCTCTCTCTCTCTCTCTCTCTGTGTGTGTGTGTATGCCTTGTCAGTGGCCTCATCGCTTGTGTAACCGCTGTACGGTTCCTCCAGCTTGACGATCGCCTCCCCCGTTCGCGAGCCGTCGGGCGCTAGATCAGCCTCCCTGACACAACACACACACGGAGAAGAAGAGAGATGGGTGGAAAGACAACACGCGCAGCACACGGACGTACCGGCAGAAGCCGTCTGTTCCTCGGACGGCGCAGTCGTTCTCGACGTCGTATTGGATGAGTTTCTCGGTGCCGAGGCTGCCCCGCACACTGAGGGGGATGAACCCACATGACGCCACCTTGCCGTAGCTGTTGATCCTGCGCACACACACGTCATGCGTGTGTCAGTGGCCGAGTGTGTGAATGCGTGGCGGTCACATACATTGGGTGTGCGGCTGGCATTTCTGTCTGGCCGTAGTGCTCCACCAGACGCTCCACACCGAATCGATCTACCACCTGCCCATCCAGTCATGCCACATATCACACACACACACACACACACGTCCACGGACGTACCTCTTTCCACGTCTCATATCTGAGCCCGTTGCCAGCTGCCACGCGCAGTGGGTGAGACCGGTCGCTGCTCTTGGGCGGCTGACAGACACACACACACACCACAGATGAGTGGATGCCATACGAGGATGAGTGTGTGTTGCGTGCGCTACCTGCACACAGATATATCTCCAGACCTCCCCCACATAGATGGTTGCCGTGCAGCCGAACCGACGGATGTCTGCTCACACACAGAGAGGGAGTTAGAGGGAGGGGGGTGTCTGCGCTGATCACATTTGCACACGTGTGCATACCGTCGAGGAATCTTGAGGCGGAGAGTTTCCTTCTGAGGACCATGGCGCACCTGGCCCGCCAGCAGGCGCTCACCGCCACCACGCCGCCATTGCCGTGATAAAGAGGTAGGGGAATGTAAAACTTGTCCGAACTAACATGGTATCAACACACACAAAAGAGATGGAGAAGGATCCATGAGTCGAATGTTCCCAAACGGACACAGACGGACCTTTTCAGCTGCATGTGTCTTGCCCACGTGACGCCCGCACCAATCACCCTGCACGCACTCACATTAAGGCGTCCGCCTGCCTGCCTGCCGGTCTGCCTGCCTGTGTGTCTGCGTGCTCACCGTTTGTGGTTGAATTTGGCCGCCTTGGACTTGCCCGTGGTGCCGCTGGTGTAGATGTAGAAGTGCGGGTCATACTGCCCGAACCCCGCCCGACACTTCTTGTCGGGCCTGTCCTTCTTCATCCTTCGCAATAAGGGGGGCAGCGACCGCTCAGAGAAACGGGAAGACGGCACCTGCACACAGAGAAGGATGAGTGGATGTCTGTGCTAGAATGGGTGTTTGCGGACGTTGTGTGGCTTGGTTTTGCCGTATATGAAGAGCTTGCAGGACTGTTCGGGAGGGTGTGAGGCCACCATGCCCCGCCACGCAGGCAGGAGGGTGTCAGATGTCACCACAATCGTGGCCTGATCGATGCACACATATGGCATGAAGGCTGCTACGTCTGTGTGTCTGTGCGTCGTGCCTCACCTTTGAGACTTGTATGGCGTGTTGCAGCAGGTCGCCCTCGAGATTGGTGTTGATCAGCGCTATCGTTGCGCCAGCCTGAACACGCACACCACACCACAACTGCAGATGGATACATACACATCACACATCTGTGGCCTGTGCACCTTTGCGAATCCCAGCCATATCCAGATGAACTCGGGCCTGTTCTCCATGAAGAGCGCGACGACCTCACCCTTCTTGACACCTGCCTACACACACATCACACATCACATACACAGACACGGACATGCCAACAGGGTGCCTGCCCATGTGCATGTCTAGAGTACCTTGATGGCCCAGTGTGCCACTTTGTTGGCTCTCTCGTCCACTTGCCGATAGGTCAGCTTCTCGCCCGTCTCGACCGACTCGATGCAGAGGCTGTCTGGCACCTCATCTGCCGCGGCCTCAAAGTAGTCAGCCACATTCGTCAGACCGGCGCCCTCGAAAGCCGACATCACCTGCACACACACAGGCAGCACAGACAGGCACATTGCAGGTGTGTTGCCATGAGTGTGTGTGCTCACCTGTCTGTCGTAGTGATAGCCATGCCAGTAAGACGCCTCAATCTCTTCCAGCGACATGCCGCACTCAGCCGCCACATCGTCCACTGTACCCTCGTCGGCAGCAGCGCCCTAACACACAGACACACAAGCCACAGCATATGAGATGAATGCATTGATTGAATTTCATTCGGTGACCTCCTTGTCCCTCTCCCCATTGGTGGTGCTGTCGCGCTGCTGTGCGTTGCCGCGTCTGTGCAGGAAGGACGATGCGGCCTTGGGCCGGTCGCCATGAATGAACACAGCAGGGTTGAAGAGCAGCAGCGAAAGGACCAGCACGGAAGAGATCCTGCGAGATCCGGCCATGATGATGAGTCGGTTGGTGAACCTGCGCGTCCTCAGCGTCCTCTCTTTCCTTTTCCCGATTCCTTCCTGCGAGCTCCTTCTTGTAGCTCGCAGTCCTTCTGGCGGAGATTCATCAGATCCACGGCGCAAGGGCAGCCCTGCGCTCTGCAGCAGCATCTTGCGTTCGTGTGTGGCGTGTGTTATTGGATTGCGTGAGCCGGCCTGCCCAGCCCCAGCCATGAGCATGGAGGACATGTACCTCCGCGACAGGCTGTTCTCCAAGAAGCCGTAAGACAGCAAAGAACAGACGGAGAGAGGAAAGAGATGATCAAGTGGACGCAACGCACGCATGTGTGTGGTTCGTTTCATGCCACAGGATGAGTAAGGTTTGCACCGCGGTCCATCGCCACACCCGGGAGGTGTGCATCCTCAAGTCGATGAGACAGCGCGGCAGACCGTGAGCGAGAAAGAGATGGCCAGCCTCTCTGCGTATGCATCCCTTTCTGTGTTGTTATGTGTGTGTGTGTGTGTGTGTGTGTGTGTGCTGTGCAGGCAGGATGGGGACCGCTACCACGCCTACACGACCCTCCTGCAGCACGGCCACCCCCACATCGTCAAGCTCTACGCCGTCAGCATCGACACCACCAACGGCAGGGAGTGGCTGAACGTGACCATGGAGCGGCTTCACGGCATGACGCTCGAGTGCCTCCTCAACCTGCACGACGAGCACGGGGTGCCGGAGGGCGACGCCAAGAGGGTGATGCGGGAGATCCTCATGGCCATCCAGCACCTCCACGCCCACCACGTACGTAGGCATTCACAGATACGTAGCAATCGACACAGACAGATACACACCACACTGTGGCGCCTGTTTGTCTGTTTGTCTGAATCTCATTACTACTGGCAGATCATCCACCGGGACATCAAGGTAGGTCAGTTGTTTCCTTTCTGTCGACATACATTGGCAGGCTTTTTGTCTGCCTTTCTTGTGGTGGTCTCTGTCTGTTGTCAGCCCGACAACTGCGTCTTCGCCACCAGGGACCAGCAGCTGAAGCTGCTCGACTTCGACCTGTGCACGCGGCCGACGGTGGACCTGGGGGAGGGGGAGCTGCGAGTCGGCACTCGGCCTTACATGGTCGGTGGGTCGGTGGGTGGGTGGGTGGGTGGAACAGTGAGTGCACTCTCCTATTGATTCCCCTCATGGTTGTGTTGTGCTTCCTTCCACAAGCGCCGGAGTGCTTCAAGGATGGCCTCTACAGCACAAAGAGCGATCTGTGGGCGGCTGGGGTCATCCTGTAAGCGGGGCGGAACACACATGGATCTCTCTTGGCCTTTTTCTTTCTATGTGTGCATCAGCTATGCCATGCTGTACGACGGCTGGCCGCACGACGTCCCCGACGACGCTGAGAACGACGAGGCCTACGACATAATTCAGGAGGTACGCTGCGGACGGATAGACGGAGGTGCATTCCTCTGACGTGAGTGCTACTTAGACTAAGGCATCGCTGTGTGTGCTGCCAATCCATAGGCGGCGCCCAAAATGTTCACCTATACCACACCGCGTGACGTCAGCCCTGCCGCCATCGACCTGGCCAAGCAGCTGCTCAAGTTGGAGCCGTCTGAGAGGCTGTCGTCGGGTCAGCTCCGTGTTTTATGTGTATGTGTATGTGTATGTGTATGTGTGTTTGACTGACGGATGCCCACTCATCTTCTGTGTGTGTCTGTCTGTTTGTTTCCATGCAGCTGAGGCTGCGCTGGGGCACCCATGGTTCGGCGAAGAGGTGGCAGGTGCGCATACACGTCTGTACGTGTGCATCCAAAACACATTCGTGTGTGTGTGTGTGTGTTTGTGTGGTCAGCCGTCAGCGTTGAGAGCGAGGGTGGCGAGCAGCCACCACCAACAGCAACAGCAGCAGCGCCACCAGCAGCTGCAGAAGAGGCCCCTCCTTCCCACACCCAAACCGGCACCTAGCCGATCGTGGTCAGCCCACCCCCGCCCACCCAGCCATCCTCACGCCCCCTCCCGCCGGCCGAGCCACCATCGCCACCACCCCAAGGGCAGCAACAGGGCTAGCAGAGGCATCTAACAACTTGACTTGACGGCGAGGTGAGAGCCCGTGTGACGCCGCAGAGGTATGGTGGTCGGCCGAAGCATGTATAGGAGGCAGGCAGGCGTAGAGTGAGGGAGGGAGGGGTCTGGTGGTATGGGTGGCCGGCGGGATAGAGTTAATCTATGGATGCAGACAGACAGACAGACAGACAGGCTGTCTGGCAGGATTAGCGGGATGGTGCGGACTCGCTTGTTTCGCTGCGGGTGCGGGTGCGGCGGCCATGCGTATGTGCATACGGGGGCGGGGCAGCGAGCGAGCGTCGGGCACAGACGTAGAGAAGCGCTTAGCACTTAGCGACGGATGGACGGATGGATGTGTCCTTTCGGACCTACGCATTAATTGATCGCAGTAATCAATGCAGGCAGACAATCTTACCCCCCATGATTGAGTTGGTGATTTCTCGGCTGTTTCTCCTCCTTTTCGGATGAGCGAGCGTGTATCGGACTACACCCAACCCCCTCCACCTACCCTCATCCCGCGAGACGGCGGCGGG